TGGTGGTGGTCGGCGTACATTCGCGAGGAGAAACATAAAACGTGACAAATTTGGGGATAATGTACTCAAAGTGTTTAGTAGAACTACCTCTTTTATAAAAATTTCGCCTGTCCATATGTGCAAATTTTAGAGACAGAAACTGTGAATTTGGGTTGGAATGCTCCAGAGCATTAATTAATCAAGTTGGCCTTAGAGCTACTCGTCTTTATTTGAGAATTCAAGAAGAAAGAGACTCGATTACTAGACAAGAACTTTATTCAGGTTTACCCTTGGACCCACTATCAGATATAAAAACAGATAAAGGTGGTCGGCGTATACGGGGTTCAGAATTTATGGGCTACAGCTGCAACATCAATACAATCTACTAAAATGTATAGCTCACGCATTCTTTGTAGGCATATACCTTACTAAAAGAAGCGAAGAGGAGGGAGACCGGATCGGCCATTTATTGGTTATAAAAAGTCGTCAGCCATCATTACTCAACCCAAAGGATGAGAACGCAGCTACCTGTAGGTAATGGGACAGAAGTGTCTAGACTGGTCTCCCTTGTCCTTTTGAATACTAACTTTGCAGAGTTACCTAGTCACTATGCACGTGCCTATGAGGGCACTAGATTGACCCCAAGGACAACAAGACCAGCATGATCGGTAACCTGGTCAGCGCGATGCCTGTTATCTTAGCTGATGCATCCGATCTCGACAGACAGGACAACTAGCCCTTGAATCATTGATTCTCACGTCGGACTTACTTACGCCCAATAACCAAAGCAACCCTGATTCGAACATCCGTGGCCCCAAAAGCTGAGAGCAGGAATGGCTATTCGGGTCTCCTTTGCCTTTGTTGACACCAACTTGTCTGTTTTCAACTTGTTCTGCATCCATTTCCAACTGACGCGGTACGCCTACCCTACATATTAGATTTTCACCCAACCCTGTGTTTTCTGGGCTTTTCTATTGCGCATAATTCACTCTGAATGTCCGTTCTCATATGGCCTCCACGCAAACTACGGTCCGCCCGTTGCATCTATTTCCGTCAAATGTCCTTGTTATCGAGCGGCCAGGGTACTCAACAAAAGTAGACCGGGAGAAAATTATCCCGGTTAATTTTGCCAGCAGAAGATATACATCACACAACAATATCATCTTTCATTTGCGCATAGTCAGCTTACTTATATGTCTGTTACAAGGTAGACGCGGAGTTTCTATTGAAGGGGTTCTAGTATGATATAACCAGAGTTACTGGCCGCATAAATATATTAGCCAATAAAGAGTCACTGATTAAACGGCACAGAAGACGATCGGCGTAGTTAAAACAGTATTTGTTACTTGAAAAGGCGCTCTGATTATTCTTAACGGGGTATTATCCTCGAATTTAGCAGGATTTGTGTTCACTGTGACCACAGCTATGCCGTACCATATACATTTAGGAAAAACACTCTCTTCACTAATTGAATTCTGCTAAACATATTCAGGTAGGTGTTAGCCCCAATTTCCTGCGCTGACACAAAGAATCACCGGCATGCTTTTTCACTGAACACAGCCGAGATGACTTCGTTCCCACGTCTCAGCCACTTGAATCCTCTCATATTCCACTTATACTCATTGAATGCTACCAAGCAGCATCGAAACAGCCGTCTCATAAACTGACTGAACAGTTTAACGCAGCTTTACAAAGAGGGTTTTGCGTAATAAGCACAGCATGCTGAACGGCAGAAAGCCTGACGGGAGAGACAACTCTCGCTCCTGCGAATTAATTCTTACCTGGTATTTTCTTTTGATCAAAAAATATTACTAAAGATGCTCGACAAACGTCCAGCATTTGTGGCAATTAGTCAGTGAGCAGCTGTTGACGCCACGGGGATCGATCTCATGTAGTGTGCTAATTTCATGCGTAGTTGGCCGTTAAATGTGAAGAAAAGTTAGGGGTGGGAAGGTGCCTTAGAGAGATGAGGAAAGTTGGGCGGACCAGTTCACAGACGGTGAGTGCATGTTATTGCTTAAGTTAGGGGGTGTTCTTTCCAGCGTGTTCAGTAAAACAGTTTCTATGCACAGTTTATCAGTGTTCTCATGAAAGTCTCCAAAGACCTTAGTCATGTGCCAGACCTGATGCGAATTTGATCTACTTCAATTATATAAATAAGCTACTTGACGCATACTGTTTTACCTTTCGGCCGTCGCCTGTGACACATTCGGCCTGATCATCAACAGTAAGAAGACGGTGGTTATACACTAACCACCACCCGACGCTGCCTACGTTGTACCCCAAATCAATGTGAATGGCGCCAAACGGCATGTCGTAGATAACTTCACGTAACTGGCCAGCACTCTCTCTCCCAACAGAAAAATCGATGATGAAGTGGCCCGCCGAGTTCCAAGGCCAGCCAATCCTTTGACCGTCTGCGAATCACAGTCTTGTATCGCCACAGTCTCCACATCAACACCAAACTCAAGATGTACAAAGCGGTCATCCTGCCGACGATGTTATGTGGAGCGGAGACCTGGACGGTTTACAAGAAACAGGCAGGTGGACTCAAACGCTTTCACAACAGCAGTCTTCGACGGATATTGAGCCTGAGATGTCAGGACCGGATCACCGGACACGGATGTAATTGAGCAGACGGGCATCCTCAGTATCTATGCCATGTTGAGACAGCTGCAACTGCGTTGGAGCGGCCACCTCGTGTGGACAGACGACGGGAAGCTACCCAAACGATTCTTCCATGGAGATGTCGCCGTGGAGTCTCGCCGACAAGGAGGCCAAAGCAGCCGTTATACTGACACTCTAAAGACTTCCTTGAAGCGTCTGCACATCAACTCGGCCAAGTGGAAAGACCTCGCTCGAGACCGACCAACCTGGAAGAGGACAGTGAAGGCGAGCACAGCGGTCCTCGAAGCCAACCACATCACAGCCGCCAAGGCCAAACGCGAGGCTCGCAAATCTCAACTGCACCAACATCGCAAAGCCAACGCTCAACCACCCCGACCTTCCTACGCTGCCTGTGGACGTCCCGGGCACCCATCGGTGTCACTGGATATCTTTGGACCAACTGCAGCACCCGGACTACACCAGTTGCTGCCTCCCCGTCCAACTCTGCCTCATCAATCACGCCGACAACTAACACTGGCCGCACTCGCGAATCCCCACTACCCTCCTCCTCCTCCTGCTCTTCTCCTCCTCCTGTTCATCCTCCTCCTCCTACTCCAAGGCCCCAACATCCGCCACGGCTGCGCACAATTCTGACACATCAACAAACACCAACCCCCCCCCCTTCCCCATTATTAAAGTCAAAGGTGTAGGCTCGATCAATACGATCACACGTTCACCTTAATCATCGGCTTGGTCGATCACTTGCGAATCCATCCGTTGGTGAAGCAGTGCCTGGAGCACCAGCCTATACTCGTCGCATTCGCCTCCACTGTCCCCACCGCCCCGCACATTCAATCACCGCATGGGCCTATTCAGTCACATGCGTATCCACGAAAGCGGAATAGACCGCAGTCTTGACACATCTGGCACCTGCACATCCACTCTGCCTGGTAAAACCCAAAACCCTTCGTCCAGCATGTCCACCATCAACAATTCTGCCAATGCCAAAATCTATGACACCAACATTAACACTGCTGACTTCTCCTGTCCACAATGTCTCTGTACATTCAGCCCACACATCGGCCTGGTCGGTCACTTGCGAGTCGATCGTACAGAAACTAGCGAACCAGTCAGCCCTATCGCATCAGCCCCAACTGCCCTCACTACATCCGCACATTCACACGCCACGTGGGCCTATTAGGCTACATGCGCATTCACGAAAACCTGCAGTAGACAACCGCCGGCTACATCACACTATCACATCTTCCTCCACCTACATAAGACAACACAGTCATCCACCACAATCATCCAATTACCACCCCCGCGCAAGTGGGGATTGTGCGTCTCGGCTCCGTCTCCATGCGGCTCCTCTGCTGCATATGTGATTTGATTTCGAGGTTATCAGGGCGCGTCAAGCGCTGTGGCTTGAGAGGCTCCTGACTGACGCCCCAAATCAGTCCACGCAGTCTGTCCAGTTATTTGTGTATGTACAAGTGGTGGACTGGTGAGCTGAGAGCGTGACTGAGACGCCTCTTTCTTAACGTCACCTAAGGCACTTTCACGCATGTGACATGTACGTCGCTCAGCCCCCGTTTTGCGAAATCCTGTCGCTTGTATTTGGGAGACCAGGTCGTGCATGTGGAGGGTGCAAACACGGTCACTAAATATGTCAGTCACCGCGAACATTCCACGTACCTGTCAACTGACCGGCTCGGACAGTGATTGGGGCCTGTGAATGGTAAGTGAGAGTGAGGTCGACAACTCAGCGCATTTTCCTCACTTTGAAAAATTTGACGCGCTTGAAGCTATGACGGTGCGTTAAAAGCCGTGGCGTGGAGGGTTGCCAGCTGAAGGGGATTACTTAGATCTCGCATTCGATCCAGCGTTGTGTGTTTGCGTGGAGCTGCCGACTGGTGGTCTAAAAGTCAGGTTGTAATGGCTCCTCCTTAATGTGACCTTTTTGGCACTCCCGCTCCGTGGGATCCATGCCGGGTACGGGCGGCACGTCTAGGCAAGGCTTCGGCCGCGCCAGCCACTTTCTAATTGTTGCTTAAAATCTCGGTCATTTGCTGTGTGAACCAGGGGTGTGAAATGGAGCGCTGAGGTGCGGGCTCAACCGGACCGTTCACCTGTGCCCTTCCCCACCTCCGGTCTTCTTGACTATGTCTCCACACCAGACCCAGTCAGCGGAGGAGAGAGTGTGGTAGATTCTGCCCCAGTCCACATTCATTATAAACTAAACCACGCACAAGCCATCGTCCTGCCCTCACCTTGCTGTGGAGCACACGGTTGATATCGTCGGCAATGATGGTCGAACTATCGTGAATAGACGACGATGACACGTTGGGAACCCTATTTGTAATCTGTCAGATTTTATACCCTTCGGTAGCGACTACCCAAAACTTTTTAAAATTAGATCATGACTTTCGCAGTAAATGATAAATATTTAGGAAAAGGCCAACTAAAATTTTTGTATGACTAACTGAAAAACACCCAGAACACCCCAGGGATTGAAAAATTTCCACATGAACCAAACGGCTAATAAAAGAAACTACAAATCACGGAAATTTGTGTTTTACTTACGGCTTAGACAAGGCGAAAAGAACAACGTTTGCTTCGCGAAATCGTACACCTTAGCCAGAGAATTTGCTAAGAACCTTGAAATGGTATTTAGAAAAACACGTTTAAGCCTTTGTCCGGGGCATGTTACACGATAGCGATATATGCTGGAAGAAATACCAACAGAGGAAGAGGAACAGCCATCTCTGGCTTACTAACGGTCATCAGACCGCAGTACCGGACATAAGTTTCTAAACACGCAGGTTCCGAATCCAGGATAAGCGTTCATCGTCGCGAACACCCTGTCACTAATCAACGGACCCATTTCCCTGAATGTTGCAATGAACTACGCTAGAACTGTGTTCCCCGACCGGTTTGTTGAACGAGCATTTCCCATTACCCGATGGATAAACGTAATTCCAGCAATGTCACATATTTCCGAAGTCAGGTACATGCACTAACGAACTGCAGATAACGTTCAGCATAAGAGCGAAAAAGCAAAAGTGCGAAACAGACGATCTGTGATGACAACTTAACTCAAATTTTAATGTCACTGTCCCAACAGAGTAGTAAAACAAATTAAGCAACCTTTCTTTACACATCAGACGGAAAGAAATATCGTTTTATCGACCAGCAAACAGCAAAAACCGCGAGATCGCGTAGCTAGAGCACCCTAGAAAATACCGGAAGTCAGGGCGCCGACTCCGTTGCGCAATAAAACTGATGGTTGCATCAGTTCTCCATCTGTCAATTTTGCCTTTCGCGTAAATGTGCTTAGGCCTCTGTGCGTATGCTATCCATCAGGAAATTGATGACAGATGTTGGCAGATTACTTGCAACAGTAGGGCTGCTTTCAACGAACAACTGTTTGACAAGATATCAAAAAACCATCTGCATAGCTGAGCAATTTTTTCCAATGCACACACAGACATGTGTGAATCTCCTGGTTTGTCACGGTTTGAAGATCAACGAATTTAACTAAAGCGAAAAGGTGGAGGACTCACAAAACCTTTATTCATTGTTAAAGGAATTACATTTTTGGGAGACGGATCATGCCAGAGTAGGTACAAATTATTCTGTCAATTAGTGTTATTTTTAACATTAACATAGTCCGGTGTTAAATCTTAATAAACAATTAAAGTTAAATAGCATTGTTCAATAGAGCCATTTCTTGTCAGTCCATGAGTAACTTTTATTTCAATAACAAGCATTGTGCGCAACGTAATAATGGCGCGGTCGTTTGATTTTAGGCGAGGTTGTTTGGAAATGAGACAAAAAGTTTTCCTTAGGAATTCGGCATTGCATTATTACTGATGCTACCGTTTGGTTTTTCCAACCCAGATAGTTGCAGGAAAAAGGACGACATAGGACCCCATCTCGAGAGGCCATCCATTAATCACAACTTCGGGATGTAAATAGCATGCGAGTGAAAGAATGCCATTTCCTGATCGTGGAAAAGTTACTCCGCAAAACTAACGTTTCAGTTCCGGCGAGGATGACAACTTTGAGTTCAAATTCGCCATTTGAATGCCGGCGAATACTATTCCACTTCCGTCCCCAACCAGTCTTAAAATGAGTCGCCTTCTTTAAGTAGAATTTGCGCATCGTAAAAGAATTTTCTAGTTTAGAGTCCGTGGAGATAAGTATTCCGCGCATGTGAAAATTTTAGTCAGATTTCAGATTTCCAGAAGAAGTGTTGGCAATAAGGTAGTTATCAGTTATAAAAGTGGTCCCCTCACAATCTTTACGTCCAAAAGAGCCTTTACAATATTATTTTACGTATGCAACCCACTCTTCTCAATTTTTTCCTACCAGCATCCGGCACGACATTACTTTGGATCATTTATTTATAGGAATTCCCATTGTGGTGAAAAAAAAGGTTATTTGAAAAATTCACTACCGAGTTTCAACTTACAAATGTTGACGATTTTGACGAATTCCAAAGCTGATAGCGCTGCCAACTCCTCGCACACAACGTTTTCGTTAGCATATAGTCTTATCTAAGTTGGTCAGATATGGTTATGTAGCCGCACTTGAGGTAAGCAAATCCCAGCTACCTGTAATACGAGACCGGTGGTAATAGGGATTTTTACAGGTAAGTCGAGGGAACTCACGGGAGCCGAGGCCAAGTAATTTTATGCAAAAGAAAAGCTATTGGGAATGCGCGGTTGTACGTCGACTGGTTGAGAAATAGTTGCCCTAACCCCTAAACCTTAATCCAAACCCCAACAATATTGTCCATTAGGTGCGTCTGCATAACCATATCTTACTCTAATTTCAGTAGACGTAGCAAGAGGGTTTGAAATCCGACAAGACGGCTCGTGGTGATTTTTTTTCATTTAAGCTTATACCAAGCATAGGCAACATGCACGAAGTCAGTCTACGGTATTTACCGGTCAACGAAAAGCCTATAAATTGAGGATTACCCTCATTTTTGATTCTGAGACGCACATTTCATTCTTTTATATATGGTTCATCGCAGAAAACAGTTTGCGCCTCGAGAATGAGCAAAGAAGCCCAGGTTTCTGTTGTTTTACGAAGAACTTTTTGCGACCCTTATTTTAGTCAAAATACGCATGTATGAATTTATTTTCTTTTTGAAAGTATCACTTTCAACAAACAACGAAACTATTGTTGTTTTTTCAAATGTCATTTATTGTTGGACAGTTATTTTCGTCAACGAATTTGGAAAATATCGGTTGTATCATGCAGTTCGACATGTAGGGATTAATTTGACTTCCGTTAGCTTACGCTCTTAGGATTTGCCGAGGTTGTGGAATTTACTTAAGAACTCAACTAGTCAGCAGGTTGCCTTCAGGAACTTTATTGCCGTGGTTACATATTACTTACAGGTCACAAAGGCGGACATGTGGGTCCAAATGTAAAGTCGCGATTTCTTCTTGGAATAAGGTAATGCGACTTTGTAAATACTCTGTGTGAGCGTGTGAATAGCATGCAGCAAAAAATGAGTACAAATTTTTCCGTTGAAAATCTTAAAATTCTATGGGCAAAATGGCCTGAGCAAGCATTTTAAAATTTCATCGTTAAAATCACATTTGAATGGCGACTCCTGAGGGATATTTTATAGCATGCTG